CCTCCCAGGTTCAAGCGATTCTCCTGCCTCAGCCTCCGAATAGCTGGGACTACAGGCGTGTGCCACCACGCCTGGCTAATTTTTGCATTTTTTTAGTAGAAATGGAGTTTCACCACATTGGGCAGGCTGGTCTTGAACTCCTGACCTTGTGATCTGCCGGCCTCGGCCCTCCAAAGTGCTGGGATTACGAGCGTGAGCCACCACGCCCGGTTAGTTCTATATCTTATTTTAATAAGAACTATGGCTCCCATATAATTTTACTTTGCTCTTGGATGAATTCAGAGATGTAGATATCCTACCTTTATCAGAGGGAGTCATTCTTTCCCAGAAGCTAAATTTAAGTGAGAAACAGATAACTTTTTGATCTGAGAAAGATAAGAATAATGTTCCTAAACAAAAGAGCTTCATTTAAGGCATTTCAAAAGAACATTTGTAGAATATCTCAGTACATATAATTAACATACATAAGTAAAATTAATAGTGGAGCTAGGCCGGGTGTGGTGGCTTACACCTATAATCCCAGCACTTTGGGAAGCTGGGGCGGGTGGATCATGAAGTCAGGAGACCATCCTGGCCAACATAGTGAAATCCTGTCTCTACTAAAAAACAAAAATTAGCTGGCCGTGGCGGCAGATGCCTGTAATCCCAGCTATTCAGGAGGCTGAGGCAGAAGAATCACTTAAACCTGGGAGGCGGAGGTTGCAGTGAGTCAAGATCTCATCACTGCACTCCAGCCTGGAGACAAAGCAAGACTGTCTCCAAAAAAAAAATTAAAATAAAATAAAATAGTGGACTTAAAAGACAGGAAAAGATGGGCCGGGCATGGTGGCTCATGCCTGTAATCCCAGCCCTTTGGGAGGCTGAGGTGAGCAGATCACTTGAGGTCAGGAGTTCGAGACCAGCCTGGCTAACATACCGAAATCCTGTCTCTACTAAAAACAGCTGGGTGTGGTGGCACATGCCTGTAGTCACAGCTACTTGGGAGGTTGAGGCAGGAGAATGGTTTGAACCTGGGAGACAGAGGTTGCAGTGAGCCGAAATCGTGCCATTGTACTCCAGCCTGGGCGAGAGAGCGAGACTTCTAAAACAAAACAAAACAAAACAAAAGACACAAAAAGATTAAAAATAAGAATAAAAAATGGGAGAGGAGAAGACAGTAGATAAATGTTGTAAGCCTTCAGAAGTATAAACATAAAAGCAATTTTTTCATACCTCGAACCACTTAAAGTTCAAATAACTGGTCTCATGCAATATTTCATGCAACAGCTTCAGATAGGCCGTGAGTAGCAGAATGGTGGAAAATGAGAAAACCGAAAAGGCAAAAGCATGCAATTAAAAGCAAAATATACACAGCCACTCTGGAAGATAGCTTGGCAGTTTCTTCCAAAACTCTTACCATATGATCTTACCGCAGAATCCAGCAATCACACTAACAGTTATTTATCCAAATAAGCTGGAAATTTACATCCACACAAAAGTCTGCACGTGAATGTTTACAGCAGCCTTATTCCTAAGTGCCAAAAACTGAATGGTACCAAGACGTCCTTCAACAGCTGAAGGAATGAATAAACTGGCACATCCATACAACAGAATACTATTCAGAGATAAAGAGAAATTAGCTATCAAGCCACAAAAAGAAGAACCTTAAATGGAGATGTGAAGTGAAAGATGCCAATCTGAACATGCTATATACTATATGCCTCCAACTATCAATAAAGGAAAAGGCAAAACTACAGAGGCAGTAAAAAGATCAGGGATTGGGAAGATGGGAGAGGAATAAATCAGTGGGGCATAAGACTTTTAGGGCAGTGAAACTACTCTGTATAACACTGTAATGGCATACATGTCATTATATGTTTGGCAAAACTCATCAGAAAAATTGAACCCTAATGTAAACTATGGACCACACAGTTAATAATAATGCATTAAAACTGATTCATTAACTTTAACAAATACCACACTAATGCAGTATGTTAAAAATAGGGAAAACTGAGGTAGAAAAGGAATAAAAGGAAGCTCTGTACTTTCTGCTCAATTTTTCTATAAACCTAAAAACTGCAAAGTCTATTAACCATAAATAAAACATACCCCCAGGGCATATTATAATCAGTTCACACAATAGCCTCAAAAAGGAAAATACATAACAGAAGTCTATATCCCATAATGGCATAATCTATTATTAAACTGCCAAACTCTCTGCATGATCTCTGATTTTTAATACTTGTCAATAAATAATGAGGCCAAAGCAGAAGAAAATCTTTATTTGAAAAATAAAGGAGAAAATGTAAAAAGAGTAAAATCAAGATTAAATAAAATTCTTCCCCACCCTTGGGTGACACAATGGTTGTCGCCATCCCTCCTCTGAAGCTCACCACTACCCAAACTCTATGTGACTGTGCATTACGAACATATTTGAAGAAAGAGTAGACAAGGCATTTATCTAGGAACAGGGCACTGAAAGGCACTCATTCTGCAAAAAGTTAAATTCTCTCTCAGTTTTGCTAATAAAGTTCGTCTTTCTATACTCGACACAAAAGAAACCATATCCGTGTTTCTCACACAGCTATGAAGGGACTCCCTGGGGCATATGCTATGTCTGCCTCAGAAACATACCCTTCTTTACTATAGCTACCTTAACTCACAATAACACCAGTAGTCTGACCAAGGGGGTTCCTCAAAAGATTCCTGTTACCTTTTCATTGAGCATTTTTTTCCTGTTTAACATTTATATTTCTCCCACAAAGAAATGGAAAGGAAACAATTACTGCAAAATTAAGTGTTATGAACCTCTGTGTCAGACATATTCGAAATCTTAAATCACATTCTCATAATGGGAACTGGGATTATAACCTTCACTTGTTAAAACTATTTCTTCCATTCACACTTCCCATCTATAATTATTCTTCCTAATGAAAAGTCAAAAGTAAGAGTATGGGGATATTAAAAGATACAGGAAATATATCAAACAAGCACCACAAACTGCCACAGCAGAACTCTTCAGCAAGTCCCTCCAAGGCTGAGACATGCTTATCTGGGACTCAAGTGCATGGTTTCTGTGTCCTTCATACTCACTATTAACCTTAACTTGTTACAACCTTAAGTGCTCTCTTGAATGAGGCAGGGTATGAAATGAATAAACTATTAGCTATTTGAAATAAACATTTTTCAGTCAGAAATGTTTGTGTTTTTTCATTCAGTTGAAAAGCCAGGGTTGTGCCCAGTCTTGTAGCAGACAGACAAACTCCATTTCATCTCATCCAATACATTAGCACATACTACATAAATATATATGGGATCAGACCTAAGTTATTAATGCAGAGACCTCTACGTTACATGAGTCAATTCTCATACAATTTTATTTCAATTCTTATTTAAGAAAGAGTAGGCAAGGCATTTACCTAGAAACAGGGCACTGAAAGGCACTCAGTCTGTGAAATAAATTCTCTCTCAGCGTTGCTAATATAGTTGGTCTTTCTTTCTATACTTCACACGAAAGAAACCGCATCCTTGTATCTAACACAGCTATGAAGGAACTCCTTGGGACTTATACTCTATTAAGTGGTTTTGAAACCCTATAAACATAAAATATGTATAGTTTACCTAAACTATACTGGTTGTGTTTTACCTTTTGCTTAACCAGCAGCATTGCTAGGAACTGTATAAAATAGCAGACCTGTTTTTCAGCATTGGTCCTGGCTGATTCCTCTTGTGCTAGCACCATTTCCCGCTCTGCAGTTATCTGTACACTTTCTCTTAGTGCTTCTTCCAGCTCTTCAATCCTGTCATCCTTCTTACGGAGACTGTCCTAGAAAATGATGGAAGACTAGGTGAAGTAGATTAATTAGTTGACCCAGGGAGAGCCTATTTGTTAAGAAAGGGATATTTGCTTATTAAATGTTCTTCCCATCAAGGGCAATTCCTTGTCAACAAGGTATTGTCACAGAGGAAATAATAAAGCAAGGAAAGTAAAGAAGGCTGAAGAAGTATATTGTTAAGTGCAAAGTGTCAAGTTAGTGAAGCAAGATAAATGTGAGGAATTTGCTCTCTGTAATAGAGAGAATAAAACTGTGTTAGACAGCAGAGGCAGCAGGGGCTTGATTTTTAAAAGCACAAAGTTGTTTTTGAACTATTCTCTAAGCGTAAAGCCAGCTTTGATGAAATAGTAATTAGATTGAATATCAAAACATTCTCTTTTCCTGCAGTTAAGCCTAGATGAAAAAAGTTCAGTAAATGGCATGATCTTTCAGATTATATTCTTCATAGACAATTGTTGGCAAACAATTTCTTATAAGACATTAAAAAGCAAGTGATACTTCCTAACATTTCAAGAACGTGTAGTTTTCTCATCATCTCATATGAGAAAACCAAAAATGACAACCGGATATAAATGACTAATAAGGAGCTAAGAAGGAGCAATTTTATTAGCCAATCAAGCAATTCCCAGCCCTCATGTTCTATACAAGTTTAAAATACAGCTTCTGAAGAGATGAAAGTTGACCTATTAGAAAGTCAAACAAAATCCTATGGAACTTTGAGTTCATGTAAGACAGGAGAGATCTTAAGAAGACTAAATGAAGAAGAGTTCAAGTAGGATGGAGAACTGGATTCATCAGATTATTATAAGCACTTCCTTCTTTATCTTATGAAACTAAAGGATTAAGAATAAAGTGTTTCCTTTCAAAAATATATAAAACAAAAGAACAAGATTTGCTAAAACATTCTCCAATTTTCAGAATACTCTTATCAGGAAAAGATATAAAGAATTTTTTCTTTTATCTAAGAAACTCAATTATACTGCAGTCCACTTTGGTAAGTCCTTTTTGACTACTTTTCCTTCAAAACTCTAGAACTTGCAATCTGTCAAAGATAAGTCAGATTTTTTCCCCCATTTTGGAAGTACAGAATCTATTATTTAACATTCTTTCTAATAAACAGTTGATAAACCGTTTGCTCTCTCATTTTTCTACATTTTAAAAAATGAGATTTGGAAAAAAATATTCACAGTTTGATGATGTACGTTTTGTTCATCTTAAGAGACAAATTTTCATTCTTCTCAGAGATGTTATAAAATACCGTGATCTATTCCCATAAGTAAGGTTCTGTTTTATGCAGGGCAATTTAGTTGTATCAAAAAAAAAAAAAAAAAAAGTTCTTTGTTGAAATCTTTGTTCCCTCTGTTGACTTGCCATGAACAGCAGAGTACGGTGGAGGTTTTTAAAGGGATGCCATGCAGAGACAAGGAGTGATGCCAGTCAAAACAAAGACCAAGGTGGTTTCTTCAGAATCAAAGAAAACTAAACATAAAAGAAGGATTATGGAGTATGAAGGATTATGAAGTAAATTATCAACACACAAAGTTGATAATGTTTCTCATTAGCAACTTGGGGAAAACTCAGTATTATGTCTTTGTGCAGTCTATCATATCCCATTCTTAAACTGTTTTTTGGAAGTCTACTGACAGGCTTCTATTATCTAATTGAGGCTGAAACAGTTAATTCCAAATAACTTCCCAGGAATCTATTTCAATCAAACAATTTTACTTGTACATCTGTGTGGGGTAAAAAAAGCTTTGTGGCTGTATCAATAAAAAATGTTTAGGGAGAAAATGATTAGTAATTTGTCACAATGTAGGAATCAGGTTTTCATAGTATTTCATTATAAAACTTATTTCATAACTTTATTTGAAACCAGCAGTGAAACTACAGCCTATCACATGAGCTCACTGTTCATGGCCATTTATTTAAAAAAAGATTTCTGGACTTAATAGCAAAGCCTGGTTCAAAATCTTTTTAGATAATAAGGATACAAAACAAAAGGCAGGTGAAACTACAAATAAAAGGAAACAACTGATAAGTAATATTTATGTGATAAGTTGCATGACATTTCAATGTAAAGCTAAGTATGGAATCATTTGCTCTAAGGTAACTGTATCAAACTTGGATACTGTAATATAAGAGAATGAAGATAGCAAATACCCCTTTCACCTTCATTAACAAAGTCCCAAATTACTTAATCTATCTAGTGAGTAAAATCTGGCACCAGTTTTAGTTTTGGAATCTTGAGAGATCTGCTAAAATAAACCAAGGAAGTTTCTCTTGTGTTGAACCACAGCTTGAATCTCCTATTTAATTTAATAAAATATTGAGCCAGTGTAAGAAATAAACAGTAAAGCCTTTGAGTCCTACAAATACCCGAGTATCAACAGCACTGCTAGGTAATATTTCTAATCATTCTTTCTTGTCCTTGCTCTTGCAAAAAGTTATTAAATCCATCATTTGGTGTTTGGCTGATAATATGAATGCTTTTTGAAAAAAGTTTAGAACACTAGAGGAAAGAAAACATCTTGAAAACTTTTAGAAAGGCCAAAAATTATCACTTGTAGGATCAAAAAATCAGAAGAGACTGGAGTTTTTAACAGCAACACAGGAAACTAAAAGACAATTTGAATAATGCTTTCAAAACTCTGAGTTGAAAAAAATGATTAGCAATCTAGAATTCTGTATCTAAACTACTAATCAAATATGAGAGTCGAACGCAAAATCCCTGAAAGAAAAGTACCTCGCTCAAAGACTCTCTCAGGAGGCCCCCAGGGTATACTCTACTAAAATGAAGAGGTAAACCTGGAAAGAAGACATGGAATCCAGAAAAAAGGAGCTCTACCATAGGTGAATGGTGAAGGGAACCACAAGGTTGACAGGAAACTTAGAGACTATGTACAGATTACAGTGGAGAAAAGAAATTAATGTTTCCAAGAAAAAAAGCAGATGTATAGATTATCTGAAGGCCATCGATAAGGGGTGATGTATTTTATAGTAGTAATGATGTTGGGAGGAATTTCACAGGTATAGACAGAAATTTGGGAATAGATACCCAAGAGAGGAAAAACAAAAAGGAAAACTAAGGCACACCAGGAAAAAAACAAAATGTAAATCATGATATACTATGTGCCTCAGATTTAACAATGTAGATTTAGATATAATTATATTGGGAGGACAGAAAGAAGGAAGTGTGTGTGTTGGTTTGTGTAAAAACACTAATTCCTCATCATCTGTAAGAAGTCAACAGATGATGCCCAAATAAGAAAAGTAGCAGAACAATAATATAAAAATGTCATTTGGAAAGATAAAAATAAACAGCAGTAGAAACAACCAAAAGAGGTGAAAATAGTCATCTCAGAGAAAGAGGAATCAGAGTTAGACAAGAATGAGAGAAGCACTGTTATTCTAAGACATGTAAGTATTATTTCATTGTGCAAATAATATAAAATGTATACTGTTCTGATATAAAAGCAAAAGCAAACTGAAAAATATGCTAAAGAGTATCTTGCACAGCAGGATATAAAGACCTTCTGGAAATAGTTACAACTGTCATTGTTTAGATAACTGATACTCTAAATATATAAGTTAACTGTTTACTGTGAAAAGAGAAAAGCAGACCAGGCAAACAACATCAGGCAGTGCTCATGGTTAAAAAAAAGGTAAAGAGAACAAAACATGTATGGATCATATGTCATTGTGCTCTTCAGCTTTCTATTCAGAAGTCCTATGAATTTCTTCATAGCAATATTTTACAGAAGTGGGTCAGAATTATGATGAGAAATTCCTTTCAAATCTTGACAACCATGGGTTATTCTAAATAAGAATATTTTTTAAAAGGGACAATATTATCATAATAAGTTCTTCCATAAATTCTGAAGATTCTGAAGATAAATCTCAAAAGAAAAATCTCTAATCTGTCAATGTCAGACTTTAAGTTGAAGAAGTGACAGTTGTCATTAGCTCCCTTGAAAATGAGTGAGCCAATAAGATGTCATATTAGACTTTAGAAAGTATAAAATGCAACAGACTTCACATACTTGTGCTCTCAGGATCACATCTGATGAAATAAGGGGATGTGCTAAAACCCCTGGAAGGTGGTTCTTGGTGGCTAAAATGTAAGAGTGATTATACCACATATAGCCTGAGGCTTGGAATATATGCTTCACATACTAAAGTGTATTTTCTCCTTTAAAAGGTCCACATTCACCAACCTTCATGATAAACTATGAGACAGTAAAACCATTCTGAGTCTGTAATGCTGAAGAAATCTATGTATGCCATCTACGATGCCTAATTTCTCTGATCCCTATATTCCTCAGGTTTGAAGAATCTGAAGCATCTGGAAATTAGCTGACTTACTAAAATTAAATGTAACTTGAAATTAAGGTAGGACATGCCACACTTAACTTGAGAAAATGATTCCTGTTGTTTATAGACATTCTTAATCTGCTGCTAGCTTAGAAGAAAATATTCTTCTTTAGCTAATATACTATTTGTACTGTCCAATACAGGAGCCAACAGCAACAAGTGGCTACTAAACCTTTAAATGTGGCTAGTCCAAATTGAGATGTGCTATAAATATACGCTAAATTTCAAAAACTTAGTCTTAAAAAAAAGGAGGTACAACACTTTACTAATTTTCATATTGTATGTTGAAATAATATTTTGGATATTAAATAAAACTATCAAAATTAATATCATCTGTTTCCTTTTCTTTTTTTATGAGGCTATTAGAAAATTCAAAATTATATATGTGGCTCACATTATATTTCTACTAGAATGTGGCACTAGTTACAGCAGTTTTTACATATGAAATAAATCTATGAGGCCATATGACGCATCATGTCTTACATATGTTTGTAACTCTCTTCCCAGTTTACAGGCTATCAGCACACAAATATGAGTTATATAGGTAATAAACACCAACAAAAGCTCCAACAGTACTCAACCTTGATAATTACCATGGTGATAATATTAATAAAACAAT